AGCAAACTTTGAGAACGTATTGGAGAACGTGTAAAGAATTTTGTCATTTTTTAAATAGTAATATTAATTTTTTTTTTGGGGGGAAAAAAATTGATACTCTTTTTAAGTATTACCAATGTCACACCAACATTACATCATCATCTTTACCATTACAACTTTTTCATTCAATAATTAATATCTTGGCAATATACTAACTAAATCGTAAAATCAATAGTCTGTCTTAAATAGTGGAGTTTTAATTAATAAAAAATAAAAATAAAAATAAAAATAAAAATAAAAATAAAAATAAATTAAAATTAAAAAATTAAAAGATTTTAGAAAATAATAAAATCAAAACTGATGAATTGATGAATAATAATAATACAGAATCCAAGTTAATAATATTTGAATGATTTGCTGATGGTGAAGTGGTTGTTGTATTTGCGCTTGAGGTTGTAATTGGACCTAAAAAAATATATATTGGCAATGATTAGAGATTATTATAAAATTAATTCTTCCCTCAAAAAGATCACTAACTTACCACACTTGGTTACAAAAACGGATTTAACACTAGCTACTGGAATGGCAAATCGTTTAGTCGTATTAGGATTGGCATCTTGATAATTGAAAAAATTGCCTGCAATTGCTTTATTGCAAGTTGTACAAACAATATTTGTTGGCGCTTGGCTAAGAACATCCAATGCTGAATTAAATGATAATGATTTGGCAACACTAGGATTATTTTTTATGTATTCATTTACATTATCGAAAGTTTCGACAAAACAATATCCATTAGTTGAATTTTTTAAACATAATGAATCTCTAATTGGTGGATAATAGCTGAAGATAAAATCAACTGCCAATGCTGCTGGAACTTGGTTATCCAAGTCAGTTGCACATGCTTGTTCAAAGTTGTTACGAACGGTTGTGATTAAATTGTCAGAACATTTCACAGCAGCACATAATTTATCGGCCGCTTGAGTTAATACGGTGTCGGTGGGAATACCAGCACTAGCAGCTGGTGCTAACGATGCAAGTGGTATACATGTATTAAGCTCTTGATTACTTATTAATGGTGATATTCCATTATTAATACATGCCTGAGAAAGACTTGAAGATTGAGCTGATGTTAAAGTCATCATATTGTTATTGTTTATAACAATAAATAATAAGATAAATGCCAAGCATTTTATTGATTTCATGATTTCTTTCTTTAATTAATTAATAAGATTAATGGTAATATTTTTAATTTTTGTAGTTTTTTAAAAAATTCTACAGACAAAAAATTTAATCGTATTTATATATTTTATCATTTATTATTACCATTGCTTTTATAGAATGGAATTAACATTAATAGATCGATTATGAGCAAAAGTAGATCAATTCTAAATTTTCAAAATGAAAATGATTAATATTAATAATAACTTTCGGGAAAGATTGTATAAATTTAGAAGAACCGTGTAACATGACGTCCATCCATATGATTTTCTGCAGTGATAAATATAACAAAACATTATTATTATCGGCTGGTTTTTTCTTAAAACTAAAAATTGGCAGAGCCTTAGCATTTTGAAAATTCCAGTAAATTTCGTGTAACAACTTTTTTTCTATACATAGGCAACCCCGTTAAACCGAAGGCAATTGTGCAGGGACTTTTCTTCGGATTAACGGGGTTTCGGATTAAC